CCCCAAAACCCCAAAACCCCAAAACCCCAAAACCCCAAAGTTTTTAAACTAAATTGAAATTTCAGAATTAGAAACATTTCAAAGAACATGGTCTTGCTTGAACAGAATTTGCCTATAAAGAATGGCTAATATTAAATATGATTGATTCTTACTAGTTAGCATAATATATGGGATACCATCAAACCTTACTTCATGCTTCTCACAAAAATCTTATGCTTTAGAATGCTTAAAAATTGAGTCATGAAGTTAGTCTGACCCCCTGATGGGACTAAAGTGGAGATTTGGCTCTAACTACGTTAGATTTCCTTCTTACCACTAGTATTTCTTAAGACTCTTCCTACTGTAAGAATACTAATTTGAAATTACAAACTTATAAAAGGCGATTTGAATTTTATAAGAAATTATTCGAAGACATTTGGTGTATCTTATTCTTCTTATAGTCGATACTGAGGAACTCAGTCTTCTTGACTAACTTCGGCTTCACAACAGGATTGAGATGGTTCTTGGACACCTCATATGTCTTTCTCTGCCTCTGAAGGTGTTACATAGGAGTACTTACCACCATGGTTCTCTGACTCAGGCTACTTCTGGGTCGGATTAAGCTTCTTTTAGCAATAGAGATTCTTTCGATGTTATTATTGTCAACTATTCTCTCAATGTCTATATTTAAGGAACCATTATTACCGCTCTGGAATATACTATGCAGTGTATACTTCTCATTAAGTTTCTTTATCGAGCTGTCAGGCGACTCCTTTTTGGAGTGATTGGTAGTGGCGAAGCAGGAATTCCTCTTCTGTGTCAGAGTTCCTCTTGAAGAACTTGTCGGCTTTAGTCCAGAGCTTTTTAAAGAGAGTTGGGAGATTTCTAATTTTTGGCCTTCAGTCATAAACTCTTGATGCCTAAATAATCAGGTTTGGCCAAAATGAAGTGCTTACTGCTTAGGAATAGAGGTCAAGGCACTGGTTGGTCTGTAACATCCCTTTGGGTTCTTCTTATTTTCTAATCTTGCTCTTCTTTCCAAACTTGATGTTGCTCACAGTCCGATGCTTCTTCTTTTCAAGGAGGGTAGGGTACTTGTTCCTGATCAGGCTGCATTTCTGGAGATGGTCTTCCTTCTCAAGTTCATCTTTATAAATCCTGCAGAGGCGCTTGTATTCATCTCTAAAGAATTAGACAGCTATTTTCATACTCTTTATGGCCTCCAAGGTATGGCTGCATCTTGTCAACCTTCTTCTTGAAGTGACTGTTATCGTTGAACATGGACACTTCATTGTCAATGTTTACGATACGAGCTGAATGAATTTCTAACCTAAACGTTAGGGTAGGAGAATTACTCTGAAGTTGGCTCAATTGGGTCAATGCCTTGTTTATCCCAGTTTTTGAAGACTTCAGTATAATCCCATTTCTCAATAGGCTTGACGACGATTTTCTTGCGGTTAGTAGCTATAGGCTGTATTAAGGGAAGTTCTTTAGCTAAAAGGCTGATTGCTTACATCTTTTAGATAATTTGCTCCTGCTATTGCTCTTTTGAGGCTTCTTGGTGATTGTTGGTTGGTTCATAGTGCTAAAATGAGGGATAATCAAGAATAAATACCTAAAATTAGCGGTAGAGTTAGCTCTTTTATGCCAGTTTGGCATACAAGAACGGCTGGTGGCACTGCCAGCTGCTTTGGGCTTTTTAGATTTTGAATTTTTGATCTTGCTAACTTGCCCTGCTGAGGAACGTGTTGACTTAAGGAATGAATTCTGGAAAGGATTCTGAGGACTGGTCAGTGCTAAAGGAGTGGATAACTTAGATCTTTTAAGTGCTATAGACTTCTTAGTTAGAGTCTGAATATGATGAGCCTCTAATTTATTTGTCGTTTTGAAGGTATATATCTGTCATCATTGGCTCTAAATACTCCAGTCTATCCATTATTTGATCATGCCTTTGAGTTTCCTTTCTCTCTTTCAAATGATTTATGAATGTCTCAAGGCTTTTCGAGAGCATCTGGAGCTTTTTCATATTAATATCTTCAAGCATTTCTATAATATCTGGTCTTTTGATTTTAGTAAACAGAGCTTCTCCCTCAATAGAGATAATCCGAGCTTTCTTACTAATTCATTTAGCATTCAGGAATCTCTCTGGGCTCTTCATGAGGACCTCCTCAAGACCAAGGGTGTCTCTATCTGAGACTCTTCTGACGACCAGATTCCTGTTGGTCCTTTTATCCATGAATCTCCTGACTTCATCGATCTCTCTAGAGTTTACTCCAGCTACGAGGTTTACCTAAACACAGCATAACTTATGGATTTATCCAAGACAAGTTGGATGATAGGAGTACTTACATTCTCTGTGAAGAACTGGTAATGCTTCTTCTTCGCTTCTGTGTCAGGTTCAAGCAGCTTATACTCAAACAGGGGCAATCTTGGGTCTGAATGCACAGTGATGTTATTTAGATACTTCGAATTCGCCTTTGATGATGAAGTATATCTTGTTATCTTTCATGCCTTCTTTGAAGACTACTTGGCCCTTGTGGAAATCGCAGATATCCACAGCGTATAATAGCCTTGACTTGAAAGCTCTAGAATACTCTTTGAAGAAGGCAATTCAGTCAAGTTCTTCTATCTTCTTGTCAATCTTCTGTTGTTCTAGGGCTTTTAAAGTCGAATCGTACTGCTCTTTACTCAGTAGAGCGAATTCTACAGGAGTCACTGTCTTGATGGTAGCAAGCCTGGGCTTGTTGTAGATCAAGGAGAGGTCTCCAAAACTATCTCCCTCTTTGAGTTCACAGGCTTTCTTCAAATATTTGATGTTGTAGTTCTCTATCTTTAGTGTTTTCCCCTCTACTGTAGATTTTATTTTTGAATTCATGTTATTCATAATGGCTAGGTTTTGGAAATTGTACGCCTTACTCTTATTCTTCAAACTTTTGTTGAGAGGCGTCTGGGACAGATCGGGATTTTCAACGAGCAGCTTCTCGTTTCGATCCAGTTTAGCAACTATCCTACCCAAGCTCATAGACTCAGCATTCTCCTTGAGATGGTTTGAGATTACCGGGAGGTTCCATGTCTCTTCACCATCGATGGAGAGGATCATGTCTGAGTACTCGCTCAGAAGTTTGTAATACTCAATAATATTCAGCTGGACATTTCAAGAGTTAGGCACATACACAGAGACGATTCCTTTCAAAATGATATAGAAGTAACTTCCATGTGTGCCGAATTTTACTACCTCCTTATCTCGCTGGTCTACTCGGGAATAAGTTAACTAGAGTTGGTGAATCAAAATCTACTACCTTCTTGTATCAGTTTATTACAGCGTCATGGTCTCCATTCAGCCTGAGCTTTTGAAAGAATTTGTTTTTATCGAGCTTTAAGCTAATAGCTCGGAGGTCAAATAGATTCCGACTCTCTTCTTCTTTCTGAAGGATATGCTCTAAACATATCAGGAGGCACTTACTTATGTAATCATTAGTCGGTGCATAGCACTTATTAAAGTAAATATTATCAATGATGAGCCTCATTGTGTAGTACTGGGTGGCCTCTTTCTTGCGCCTGGTCAGCATTTCTATCGCAGGGTGCTTCTTCCCACGCAATGTTCTTGAACTAGAGCTTGGACATTCTCTACAGTCATCATCATTCAGGAATACTTACTTTGGGTCACTACTTTGGTCTTCAATTATCTTATTTGGCTTTGTTTTTGATGCTCTCAAAGATATTGGAGAGAGACCCAGTCATCTCTATGGTTCCCATTCTTAATGGCTTGGCAAAGGTTGACAGCTTATGAACTTTCATATAATTTTTTTCCATATTATTCAATTTTAATTATATTCTCTGGGGTTTTGGGGTTTTGGGGTTTTGGGGTTTTGGGG